GAGCGGAGACCCTGCAGGGACGCGCGGCCAGCACCCCTCGCCCGGGTCCCGCATCGCGATCAGAAACACGGGGACTGCGCTGCCGGGCGGCGGCCAGCAGGAAGGCAGCCCCTAAAAGCAGACGCGCGTCCTCGTCCACCTCAGACCCGGACCCGGCCCCGGGCGGCCTCGGCTCCCCCTAACGTCACACTGAGCAGGGCAGGGGAGCGCTGTGAGGGGATTCGGGACCTCAAGGCAGTCGGGACGGCGCAGCTGAAGACCCTCAGAGAGAGGACGCCAGAGCTGCGCAGGACGTGGCGGGCGGTGGGAACCGTGTGGGCGAAGCGAGGGGGAGGCGGCTTTTGAGGGGATTCGAGGCAGTGCGGCTTCGACTGTAATGACGCATTCACCATATTTTTGATCGCACTTCTAATATGTCACACACAGCTCGGACCCACCCCCACCCGGGCTTGTCCAGAACCCTCACCCTCGCCTGTGAAGAGCAGCGGGATAACGCGGCCCCCACAGGGTCCCGGAGGGTTCCGCTGCCGGCCCTGGAATGAGAAGCCCCTGCCTCGGACTGGGCGCTGACTGGCTCCTCATCCCAGGGCCCCACGTGCTGAGCCAATGTTTGAGCCCACTTTAAAGTGGAGGAAGCTGGGGTGGGGGTGAACGCTTGTAATTCCAGCACTCAGGAGGCTGAAGCAGGAGGATCACCCCAAGTTCACTGAACTGCATAGTAAATCTCTGTCTCAGAAAGGCCATAAGTAAATAAATACACAGATAAAAGCCTCTGGGGTCACTTCCCCGTGGACAGCTCTTTACAGGAGGGCACTGAGGGAGGCGGCTCTGTCCGGCCCAGGGCGCGCAGATGGTAGATCTCCAGGGTGAGGTCCCTAAGGTATTATTCGGTCTCACCTTTAATGGAGACGGCATGGGAGTTTACTCCGGAACGTCACAGACACAGGGACACAGATCACAGCCCAGCACCAAGGTCCGCAGCTGAGGGGGGGCCTTCTGCTCACACGGGGGTCGGGAGCGCCCCGCACAGCCTTTCCTGCGGGCGTCTTCCACTGGGGCATAGACAGCAGGGTTCCTGAGGAGTGCGGTTTCCCGGGGTTTTTTGTTTTTGGAGGCAGCGCCTCTCTGTATGGCCCAGGCTGGCCTCGAACTCAAGGCGACCCTCTGGCCTCAGAGGCTCTCGGGACAGTCAGCCCTCTCCGGGCTCCTCCGGCTTTTGGAGGCTCCAGGACTCTTGCCTGGTGGCTGTGTCGCTTGTCACTCGCTGTATCTGCACCGTCTTGTTGGTTTTGGGACAGGGTAGCGCTACGGAGCCCAGGCTGGCTTTGAACTTGGTGATCCTCCTGCCTCAGCCTCCCAAGTGCCTATGCTGGAATGACAGGCGGGAGCCACCACACCCCGCTGCTCTGTATTCTCGTGGCCTTTTGTTCCATGTCTGTCTCTGTCTGTCTGTTTTTCTCTTACACACACACACACACACACACACACACACACACACTCCAAGTCAGAAAATGCAAACATCCGAAATGACACAAAGCACCTTTTCTAACCCAGCAGTGTGGGTGCACAGAACACGGCTGCCTAGGAAACCCCAGGTTCCGCGATGCGGGCCCCAGAGCACACGCGGAGACTCCGGCGCCTGCAGAGAAGCTCCGGGTGTGAGAACCTGCTTGAGGAAGGGCGGGCGTCAGCTGAAGAGCGTGGCTTCCCCGGAAGACACCGGAACATCCACGAACCCAGGAGCAAAGATCGGCGAGGACGTCAGCGAACTCGGAAGCCCGAAGTCAGTGATCTGAAGATGAGCAGACGCGCGGACTCTCGGCGGGGAGGACCCACACACTCAGGGAGGGCGCGGATCGTGTGCGGAGGCTGTGACGAAGGAACTCGCGTCCCGCTGCTATGAAATCGGCAGGACTCGGGGTACCTGGGAAAACCCCTCACCACCGGGAGGACTGGGGGAGGCGGGCAGGTCCTTGAGAGATGTGAACCTTCACTTCACCGCGCTTCCTCCTGCAGCGTGGCGGTGTGTGCCTGAATCCTAGCTACTCAGGAGGCTGAGGCGGGAGGCTGAAGCAGGAGGATGCTCTGAGCGCAGGATTTTGGAGCAAAATAGAAAGATGCTCTCGGGGGAAAGAACCCGAGGTGCTAGGGGCAGCCGCTGGCTGCACCCCGCGTCACCCGCCACCGCGTCCACGGCTCTGGGCTCCTGCGTCTCCCTCAGCCCGACTCCCAGGTGCCAGACGGGCATCCAGCTTAGAGGGTGAGGGAGTCACAGTGAGGCTTGGGTCACCCGTGATTGCTGGGAAGAGCAGGAGAGGTGCTGGGCAAGGCAGAGGGGCGGCCCTGCCTCAGCCTCCCACGGCCTCTCCCTCAGCCTCCTGGTGACCCCTGCACCCCTTTCTGTGTCCGGAGCACAGCCCACCCTGCAACACAGCCGGGCTGAAAAGGTGGTCAGACCGCACAGCCCACAGGGACCGGCAGTGATGGTGACCCTGCCCCGGCGCACGCGTGACCCACGGAGCCTGTCCCACAGGCCTGTGCGTGCGCTCGGTCACACACCTGTGCTCCGCGGGGACAGAAGCAGCGCAGCCGCCAGGACAGCGGGCGTCATGGCGACAGCCCTGGACAGGACCGGCTTGGCCAGGCGCCCGGGGCAATTTAGCGACTTAAGGAGACCCGGACTCAAAGTGAAAACTAAAAAGGGCGGGGGTTGTAGCTCACCGGGCTGTGGGCTCCATCGCCAGTACTGCAGAAAGAAAGCAGGGAAGAGAGGAAGGACGAGGGAGAGAAGGAGCCGAAGAAAGAAAGATGGAAACTCCCAGCCCATGAATAACCTAAAATCTTCCCCTCCTCATCGAAAAAGCTGTGTCATGCTCCTTGTCCACCCCTGCGAAACACACAAACACGCACACACGCCCGGTGTGCGCTCAGCGGGTAGGGCTGGGTCCCCTCTCTCCCTCTCCGTCTCTGTCTGTCTGTCTGTCTCTCTCTCTCTCTCTCTCATTTTGCTTTGTTTTTGAGACAGGTTCTCACTACATGGTCCAGGCTGGCCTCACACGCACAGCGATCCTCCTGCCTCAGCCTCCCGAGTGCTGGGATGACAGGCGAGCATCACCCGACAGGGCTCCGCCCGGCCCCTTGCTCTGCCGGAGCAGCTGCCAGCACACCATGAGGGCTGAGGGACCTCTTTCTCCTGGTCTGGACGATCCCAGCTGGGGACAGCGGGAGGTCCCTGCGGAGCCGGGGCAACCGCGTCCCCACCCGAGCGGCTCTGTGCCCGGCACCAGGCGGGAGGGAAGCAGAGGCGCCGAGGGCTGCAGGGGCTGTGCTGCCCCGGGTCCCCTCCAGGCCCGGCTCCTGTGCCCGCGACACCTCCCCCCTGCAGAGCCGGCTTCACCCAGGGACGACGCGGAGGCCGCCTGTCCCCCAGGCAGAGCAGAGACCGCCAGTCTCGCTGCCCTGCAACTGGGCACCGGCTTGCCACCCTCCTGGGGCCTCCAGGGAGGGGAGGGGCCCGGAGCGACCCAGGTCCAAGCACACCTGGCCAAGCACACCCGGGCCAGGGGCACCGCGCACTGTGAGGAGCTCAAACAGAAGCGCGGACGGTTCGCGAGGGACCTGACTTCTGTCCGTTTGCGTTTGGTTTTGAGACGGGGTCTCACTGTGGATGCCAGGCGGGCCCCGAGCTCCCAGTGACCCTCCTGCCTCAGCCTCCCGAGGGCTGGGGCGACAGGTGTGCAATACCACACCCGCTGAGAAACTTGTACTGAAGCGTGTCTCCCCTCCCTGCCCCTACCCTCTGGCCGAGGGCAGGTGGGAGGGACGTCGGGTCTCTGACGCTTCCTCCCCTCCACCTCCTGACCGCCTGACGTCGGAGCGACTGAGGCAGGAGCTGGAGCAAGGACAAATAAACAATGCGGAGGCGCACACCTGTCATCCCAGTACTCCGGAGGCTGAGGCAGGAGGACCGCCGCCAAGGTCCTTGTAGCTGCGCTGGGTCAGACGCCCCAGCCTAGGAGGGAGCCTAGCCCGGACCGAGAGCCGGTGTGGCCGCGCTTGCGGGGCTGCTCCTCCAGCCGCAGCCTCTTCCTGCGCCCCAGCTGCTCGCAGCCGGCGCCCCTTCTCCCAGAGCCGGCCGGTGCAGAGCCCGCGGCGGCCGGCAGGGGGCGCGCCG